CTAACTACAATCCAGTCATACCAGTCTCCTTTCCACCCACCCCTCAGATGTGCTGAGGCTGTTCTTGTCTCACAGCCCCTGCTCTGGCTGGTCCCTCTGCTGGAAGGCTCCCCTCTCCTCATTCAGGTCTCATCCGAAATGTAACTCTATTTCAAGTAGCAACTCCCCTACACACAACATACACACACACACACACACACACACACATCCCTCAAATTACTTCTCTGGCCCAAGACATTATTTTATCTTCTCCATCCCTCTCATCTCTACAGAGATATATTTTTATTCGTTTATGTGTCTCTCTCTACTAGAGCATAAGCTTGATGAAAGCAAGGATGTTGTCCTGTTTACGACTATAGCTTCCATTCTTAGATAGATGCTGGTAGATAGTAGGTGGGCAAAACACTCTTGCTGAATGAATGAAAATGCCAACTTCAGCACTCAGCATGCAAAAGGTGCTCAAGCAATGCTAGCTTCCATTTTGCCTCCCTTCTACTTTCTTCGTCTTGGTTGAGAAATTCAAAATAAAGCTCTGATTTCTTTCAGTCCCCTCCCAACGACACTGGTACTCCACATGTATGAACCAGTCTGTGAGGTGATGCCATCCATTTTTAGTCTGAGACAGACAGGAAATGAGTAAGAAGCCAGAATGGAAAGCTCTGATATCTGTCTAGTCTGACCCAAATGAGATATTTATTTCAAGACTTTGTTTTTCTAAATGATTTTGGATTTTCAGACCATCAGATGCCTCCATAATCACAAGAAACCCTTTCCAGAATAAAAGGCACATGGTTCTCCAAGGATCACCTGCTTGGGATTAGCTGTCTTGCACTCTATTGCCATGCATTTTTCAAAGTTGGCTGCATATGCAAACTTACAGATAAGTATAAAACAAATTAACAGCTCACTTTTCCCCTGGCTATACACCCTGCATTGCACAGATAGCAAAACCCACTGGCACAGAGTTCCTCATGGCTGATCCACATGGATGGTTTTTGCTCCTGAAGCTGGAGTATATGACAATACACTAGGACCTGTGGATATCTGTCTGAGTGGGTAGTTTTTGTGGGAACTTACATGTGTAAATAAAATCTGTTATTTTCCAAATTAAAAATAAACCTCAAAGGCAATGGATTCTGGATGGCTTCGAGAGATTTGTTAATAAAATAGAGAAAGGACATAAGGGTGCGTCAAACTCAATGACATTTGGAATAAATATGAAATTTGGTTCCAGTGATCTCTTAGCTACATTTTCATGTCAGCTACATGGTTTTCTCTGGTTTACTGAAGAATACCATTAAATTCTTCTCTTGAAGAAGGAAAATACAAAATAAGAATTAGTTCTCTTAAGATTAAATTTGTGTTTTTCTCATTCACCAGACTGTGGACAGGAACTGGAAAATAGCTAAGAGAAAATGATTTAAAAAATAAAAAGGGGCTTGCATTAGGGAAGGAGACTCAGACTTTGGAATTCAAAGGAAAACACTACAATCCTGTTAGCACCTGGAAGATACCATTTAGTAAGTGCTGCCTCTTTCATTGCGAGAGGACACAGATTGTATTTTTAGTGCAGTAAACAGCAGATTCCACTGTGGGAATCCTTGCAGTCGGTACATATAGCGACCTCATTTAAAATGTTATAATGCTTTAAAACATCAGGAGTTAAGGCAGTCAGTCATATACACCTCCATATAGACACTCAGCCACTAACAAAGAGGTACATGCTTGTCCACACACCGACAGCAAATGATGTGTAATATTGTGTTACTCACCAGAGTTTTACCATTGAATCATGTTTCATAGCCAAGGCAGAGGACTGAGAAAAATCACATATACCAGCAATTGCAACCAGCAGTAACAGCATATTTGTGCCTAAACAGTATATTACACCACACGGTATGCAACCACCTAAATGTTCGTCAAAAGAACATTCTTATGATTTAAACAGGGAACATTTGATTGACATTTTGGAGTTCCTATTGGCAGCAGATGCTTTCAATACCACATCCATGTATTTTCAGCACTTAACCTTTACACAGCAAAGGATGCTACTGTAGAAACCTATGACTTCCTTCTGAGAAAGATTTTTCCTGGCTAAGGAAAAAGCACAGCTTAGCCTGTGTTCAGGGAAAGCCAAAAGGCTGAAGATTTAACGTACCCAGAAGCATCTCTCAGCCAATGATGAGCGGGGATTGGAAGTGTAAGTACATTAGCCTCCTTGTGGCTTGGTTGAGATAATTTGGTGTCGTGTCCTCATGGTCTCCTGGGGTTCCTCACTAGACTTGAGCTTCATCTTCCACAGTGGTAACCAGCTTGACAACACATCCTTTATTGGCTCTGTTTCTTTTCCAATTTCACTTTCCCACTTTCCTACTGGTGTTTTCTGAGATTACTCCCTGCAAAAACTATTTGAATCCTAAGCCTTGTATCAGGGTCTGCTTCTGTGGCAACCCAAATCAAATACTATCTTCAGTCCTTATTGTTTTCTATTAGGGTAAAAATGTAATTTTCATTAAATACTCTGGGACACAAACCCCTTGTCATTGATTCCACAGGAATGCAATCCTCACCAAAAACCAAAAGTCCAGAAAAGCCCTGTGATTACCCACATATTTATTTTAAAGCATGAGGGTGTTTTTCCCATAGCCTAAAGACCTGTAAGACTGGAATAATTCTTAAAACCAATAGAATAACTAACTATAGAAAATTATTTGAGTAGATCTAGGGTAAATGGAAGAGTAACTGCCTATCTTTTTTATTTTTTCCTTTATTACTCCCCACATATTGTCCCAATAATATGTGTGTCCCTGAATTTCATTCTTCTGTGCAAAAATGCATTGGCTGATTATATACAACAAACATAATCAACATATAAAAATAAATATTTACTCAGAATTTCCATGCACTCAGCACTAACTTTAAAACCTATATTGTAGTCCCTACAGCTTCACACTCCATGGCAAAGATAAGCCTTCAATATATCGAAAAATGTAAAATAAATATAAAAAAGAGTAATTGTTCAAGCATGAAATTTTATGGTAACTAAGAGAAATATACATAGAAACAGCTCTAAATGCCAACTGCTATCCTGTAGCAGTAGTTCATATGGAAGAAAGGTGAAAATAAATAAAAGATAACTAGAACTGTCTGCATTTCAGGCTTCCATACTACAGGCAAGTACATACACCAATGACCTAAAGGTCTCAATTTCTTCTGCATGCTCTTGAATGGTTTAGAAAAAACAGCACTAATTTTCTCTCTGGTTACCCATAATTCATCTATTTCATTAGTCAGTCAACCAATATGTTGTGTATCCTCCCCAATATACAGTAGCAAGCAGAACAAAATTCCTGCCCTCATCAAGTTTGCATTCTAAGGGGGCAATCAGTAAACCAACAAGTAAGAGATCACATTTATAATACAATATCAGGTAATGAGACTCTGACAAAAAATAAACCAGGCATAGTAAGGCTAGAGAATAATGGCCACGTGATTCCTTCAGATAGGGTGGTCAAGGATGATTTCTCTGAGGAGTCATTGTTCGAATAGAGGAAACCAGCTCTTAAAGAAGTGAGAATAAGATATTCCAGGTAGAGGATATAGCCAGTGCAAAGGCCCTGAGGTAGGAATAAGCTTATCATGTTAAAGCAAATATAAGAAGACCAAGATGAACAAGTAAAAGGGGTGTCACAGGAAATGAAATGAGAGTGCAGGCAAGAACTAGGCACTACAAGACTTGCAGACTTGTAGTTTGGATTTCATTCTTAGTGGATAGAAAGACATTAGAAAGTTAAGAAGATCACTGTGGCTATTGTGTGAAGAACAGACTACAGAGCACAATAGTGGAAGAAAGAAGACCAGTGAGGAGGCTATTCCCTCATCAGCTGAGAGATGATGATAGCCAGACTACAGTGATATTGTAGAGAAAATGAGAAGTATTGAGAGTTTGGGTTAGAGTAAAGGAAAAGAAAGGATCATGCCTAGTTTCTTTTCTCAAATAATCTCATAAATTGTGCTACCAATTACTGAGGTACAGATGACGAGGCAAGAAGTAGGTTGTGGATGGGGGCAGAGATCAAGAATCACTTTGGGCCACGCTGGGTCTGAGATGCCTGTTACCCTTGCCAGTAGTGTCAGTTGGATATACTAGACCAAAATGCAGGGTAAAGTCTGGGCTGGTGATATAAATCGAAAGTCTTTAGCATTAGGTTATATTTCAATCTTGGACCTTGGGAGCAAAATTAGGGAAAGAGGAAAAAAATCTGAGGACATAGTCTTGGGATAGTCATACATTGAGAACTTTAAAAGGAGAAGGGAGACCAGAAAAGAAAACTGAGTAGAGAGAAATCAGAAAAAATTCTTTACATCTGCCTCCAGTAGGCTCCAGCTGAACTCAAATGGGAATTCAGTCTCTTTATTAGTGAAAGTAGAAAAACAATGATCTCCCCAGGGGTCCACCTATAAAATGGATACGCAATGAGGCTTAGTACTATAAGCAAGAAGAAGAAGAAGAAGGAGTTTTAAGCAAAGCCCCCTGGGGACAATTGGAAGGTGGAGAAACAGGAGATAAGCCACATGGCATCTACCCTACAGATGTGAGAGCCTTTGAGCACTAATGGAAAAGAAAGGTAGACTCAGCAGCCAGAGAAGCTGGTTCCATGGCAGACACTGTGAAACCTGAGCATGAGTGCTGCCTCAGGACCAGGTGACAAAGCTAGGAAAAGGATTGTTCTCCTACCTGTGCACAGAGCTGGGTGTTGGGAATCTACACCTTTGGCATAAAAACAATCTCATAGAGGTCACAGCAGCAATGTTGTGATACCTGTTAATGTCTCAGCATTCCTGTGATATAGGTGAGCTGGCAACGAATTAGCACAGACTCCAACTCTAGAACACAGTTCCTCTGCAGTATATTTTGTTCCCACTAAACAACACAGCCAAACTAGCCCTTCACATGCACGCTGCCTCTACCACAGGCATTGCATTCAGATACAACTGACCTGTGTTGAAGAATGATCTGGTCCATTCTGCCTCAGTTTTAGGAAATACAGAAACTGGTGGAGGCAGACCCAGGGTTCTCCCATCCAGATCCTTGAAAAGATATTTTCTTGGACTTTCACAACCTGATTCAGGACAGACCACTCTTCCTAAATCTTTTCTGAAAATATAGACAGAAAGCAACTCTCATTTCATGATAAGCAACAAGAAGAAAACATATACGTATTGGTAGTGCTGATCTTGTGTAAAGTAAACTCAACAGGATTTTATTGAAAATGTAGTACATGGATATAAAATAAAACTCTGTATAAAATATTCTCAGTTATATGGTCAAGAAGAAAGACATTATTATTAACCAAATGTTCTGGATATCTGAATATATAATATTCACATAGATTATTGATTTTCTAAAAGGCAAGATACAGCAAAATTTTCCTAACTCTGATATCTATTGAACATAATAAAATAATTTCTTTACAAAACTTCAAGGCATGGCAGTATTTTAGGAGCACCTTTATGAATATAAATTATGTTTGTGATATATACAAACAAAGTAAGAATAGAGATTCTCATTCAACAATATCTATTCAAAACCTACTATTGACAAGTTGGGGAATACAATGATGATAAAGATGGACATGGTTTCTACATTTTCAGAATTTAGAGACAAGTGGAATATATAAACAAGTAACAGATATTTACAACATTGAATTATAGGGAATTTATTTTATTTCCTCTAGACTAATACTTTGAGGTACCATGAGAGTAATAATTTTAAATATTTATTGCATGCCAATCATGTATTGGGTACTGATAGTACAAAGAATCAGATGCTAATATCAGACCTCTTTAGTGAGAGATATTTCAAAAATCATTTATCAAAAGGCATAAATATAGCAGGGGTAAAAAAATGGGGCCATTAACTCAATGTATTATACCATTCTGAAATAACTTATTTTCATTTCTTTGATGATTTTACTCATTGTTTAAACATGTTTAGGGCTTTGAAGAATTGCCAAATACTCCACAAATATGACTTACTGTAAATACTAAAAGTGGTACCTGGGTTGTAACGGAGGAAAGTAGAACTTGTTTCTATCTTTCATGTTTAGCATCCTGGTCCTCTCTGCTGTAATTGGGTGCACTATTCCAGTGTTGTCTGCATTTGGCAGAATGCAGACATCCAGGTCATTGCTATAACAACTCTTCACAAAACTAGAAAAGGTGACATCTGAAATTTTTTTTTAAAAATCATAACATCATACCATATAAGCCACCAACAACAAATATAAATTACACAACTAAGTATTCTTATCACAATGTATGCCCAGGAGTTAGTTTAACTATCTAAAATAGGTTCAGAAGTTTACATAAATCCTGACATAAAATATCTGTAATTCTTCAACACATGGACATTGTGTGCAAAAAAGAAGAGTATTCCAACACATTAAAGTCTTAAAAGCAATACTTTGCATCAAAGGCTTAATCAAAATCCATTCATTTTACAGAAATATAAACCAACTACCAGATAGACTAAGTGAATGAGGAGTGAGTACACTACAACACAGATGAGAGATCTGATAGAAAATGAACTGCACAGTTGTGGTATAACTTTGATTTTAACCCTAGCTGCCCAAACAACTACTAAGCAACCTCAGATGAGACACAATTTTTGCATCTGTCTCTTCATTTGTATAACAGGAAAGATAACACCTACCTAAGAGAGTTGTCATACAATCAAGTTAAATAATTGCTGTGAAAGCTCTTCAACATGTAAAATGTAGTGACTTTTGCAAGTAATCACTCACTGTCATTATAAACCATTAATGTGGTTATCAATACCCAGCAGGCTGTCAGTTGGATAGTAAGCACTGGACCACACTGAACTTCTTTGTTGATATAATCTCAGAATACTATTAAAAATCCTATGCATAGATGTATAAAACTACATTGCCTGGATAATCCCAAACATCCTACCTTGAAGTTTCATGATTCCTGAAGTTGAATGGCCATTTCTTACTTTGTGCCATGGCTCCCGAGGCCACCGATTTGTCTCTGAAGTGAATACAGGCCACAGAATACCAACTCGACCCCCTCTTGGATTGGAAGGAGCTCGATCTGTTGATGTCAAGTTGGCTGAGCGAGGCTTCACTCTGTCCTGAATGCAGTCAAAAGAAGAGCTTGTAGCTACAATGACTGAATTTCTAAGCACAATCTGCACATTTTCAATGGAGCACTGTGGAGCAGAAGACACATACACTACGGACAAAAGACCAATAGCATTGTCTACCAGAGTAATGTTCTTTATCTCCACGCTGTTCTTTACATGTATCATGGCACCATAGTCAAAATTCTTGAAAGCCAGGAAGCCAGAGATACTGGTACAGTTGTCAAGTCCACTTTCCTTATAGAGATGAAGGCCATGAAGACTTGAGTGGGCCACATTGTCAGACCAAATCACTTCAGAAGAGGAGCACCTGTGGCCCTGGATGTGAAAGCCGAGTCTCTCTGATCCTGCCACAACATTGCCATGGAGGCTGATGTCCTTTGCCTGGTTCACTTTGATTCCTGCCACCCAAACAGTGGACCACACTGACTGTGTCATCAGAACCATGAGGTTCTTAGTGAGAGAATAAGCCTGACCCTCCAAATCAATGCCATGGCCAGCTGTGCTAAATACTACATTGTCATTTAAAATTATTCCATGACTGGCAACTGCATGAATGCCCCCACCGCAGCTTTGGTGCAGAGTAGAAGATACTATCCAGGATTCTGCTGACACATTGGTGAATTCAATGGACGAATACACTGGTGACCCAAAGTTCTGAATTTCCACATTTAAAAGTTGAAGAATACCTACAAACAAAATGCATGTCATCAGGTACTTTCTTTTTCCTCCCAAAAGGCTGAAGGATGGTCCATTCTAGGGCATCAGGATATGCAGATTTTTAATTAAAATGTAATAGTTTATACTCAGCACCAGCATATTTTACACCATTGATTCTCACTAATAAAATATGAATCATCATAAATATCACATCTGTCCTTGAGAAGATTTCACATGCAGTCTGAAGAGTCTGGTGATAGGATGGGGAAAGAGGAGAGGAGAGATAGAAAAATGAGATGGGCTTTGGAGATGGGCACAGCTTGTCTAAAGACTCTGTGCACTCATCTGAGGGCTGGGTCAAGGAACTGGGTAAGAATGAAAGCAATATGGGTTCCTGGCCACTCACCTCGAAGTCAAGACTCTCTCTGTGTCTCAGGGATCCCATGCGAAAAGGCCATTGCCATCACCCACAAAGATATTGCATGAACAAATATAATGGTCAACTATATAAAACATTCCAAGAATTTCTTTAAAAGAGTATGATATAAGTGTAAAATTTACTTCTGCTCAACTGACATCAAGAAACCTCATATTTAATACATGCTTCTTGTATCAGTCCATTTTGTGTTGCTATAACAGAAATACCTGAGACTGGATAATTTATAAAGAAGAGAGGTTTATTTGGCTTATGATTCTGGGACAGCTGCATCTGGCACGGGCCTCAGGCTGCTTCTACTCATGGCGGAAAGTGGCAGGTAGCCAGTGGGTACAAGCAGATCACATGGCAAGAGGAAGCAAGAGAGAGAGAGAGAGGGGGGAGGTGCTGGGGGGGGGTGCCAGGGTCTTTTAAACAACCAGTTCTTACAGTAACTAATAGAATGAGAACTCACTCAGTCCCCCCTCCCCCCTGGGAGAGCATTAATCCATTCACGAGGGATCCGCCCCATGACTCAAACAGCTTCCAACACTGTCACATCGGGGATCAGATTTCCGCATGGGTTTTGGGGGGACAACACATCCAAACTCTATCACTTCTTACAATATGATAGAAGCAATAACATACTTTTAAAACCATTTTAAAGACCCTGTAAACTTTTTCTCTATTTTTATCCTAGCTACATTATATTCTCTGTTTCATTTTCATAATAAGATTTTCTACATCTTTTATGTCAGGAAAAGATAGTGAATTATTTAGTCTCATTGGGGATTTTATTTGCACTGTTTTAAGTAGATATTTTTAAAACACAGTGTGAAATACAGCCAGTAGGTTGATTTAAAAATATAATGAGTATTAATAAGTCAGTGTATATATCCTTGGTAAAATAGATAATATGATTATAGGTGAATTAATATAAATTACTAATGAGGTGAATTAATAACTACAACACCTAATTCTCAAATAATGTTCATTATGTGCCAGCCACTATTCTAATTAATTCATATACATATACATATATATACATATATACATACATATATATATACATATATATATCTATAAACTTTTAATTTTCACAAAAATCCTGTGAGGTAGGTACAATTATTTTCCTCATTTCACAGATAAGGAAACTGAAACAGAGAAGAGCTGACTAACAAGCTAGGACTTGCACCCAGGCATATGGATGAGAAAGTGTACTATTAACTCCATGCAGGCATGTGGGGAGAGTGGAAGACTTAGTAATGTAAAAGTAGCAACTTTGCATTGGGAGTCAGGTAATTGGGCCATAACCACTTGCCAATAATTAGATGTGTGTCCTTTGCTAGGGAGGTCACAACTTTGGCCCTCACTCCTTCTGTTTTATTTTGATGTTTTTTTAAGGTATTGACAAAAAAAAAAAACTGTAAAGTTATTTCTCTCACTAAAAATGCAGGGAACTATATATTTGAAGTTTCAATTTCACTGTGTTTCAGTAATAGTATTTAAATTTCAAAGGTAGTCCAGACTAAACCCTCTTTTCTCCACTCCCTTTTCACAGATCAGAAACTAGAACTCTTGCAAATTGGCCACCTTAAATAAGCAAGCCCTTGTGAAAAGGACAAAGTGAAAAATCATGTACATTTCCTTGTGGCCAGACAACAGGATTCCAACATATCTGTTTCTCAATTGACACTGATCAAGGAGGCGCTGGTAGATGGAGTAGAAATATTCACAGAAGTATAAAACCTCCAAAAGCTATTTGTCTGGTGATATCCCTCGCCAATAGCACATAATGAAAGGGCTGTTGAATCTGTTCCATACAACACTGGCACAAAGAACACCGAACACAAGCATGAGTCTTTATATAAGTAGCTTATTTTCTAGAATGGAAGGTGGTTCTAGAATCTCAGACAAGGCAACATATCAGTATTATTTTAATTAGTGAGTTTTTATGTCTTGTACTTGCACGGTTATTATTCACAGTTTTAAACTGTACAAAATCTTTTTTACTTGTGTGCACATTAACCAATGGCTGAAAATTAATTAATAGTAAATAATTAAAAGGGAGAATTAAGCAATGATTTTATTCTCAACTATTTTCTTATTTTTCCTTCCTTTTTCATGTGTTTTTTTGGCGTCCAGCCAGTAAAGGGAATCCAAGCCCTGGTGTTATCAGCACCATGCTCCAACCAACTGAGCTAACTGAACACCCCTTATTTTTCCTTTTGAAAATCACAATTCCAAAAAACTCTCTAGCCAATTGGGTACAATTTGCTGGATATCGTTGGTCAGAAAAAGAAAAGTGATAGAGCCATCCAATATTAAGGTAAGAATTATAAGTCCTGGCCTGCTCTTTTGCTCTATAACCATTCAACACCCCCAAATTAAGGTTTAAACATTGCCCCTTACCAAATTGATGAAATAGATGTTCCAACAAAAAGTGTCCCATGATGAATATATATGGGAAGTGGTTAGATCCTCTATTCCAGGCTTTCTCTGAATCTTCATTATATTCATGTACACAGTGACTTTCTGTGATAGAGCTCTAGTGACAGCCTTTCCCAAACTGTTTGATCAAGAAACAACTTTGGAATAATGTTCAAGGAATACAAGTTTAAGAAATGAGGTCCTAATAAAATCATTTTGTAGCATTCCAAAAGGGATAAAGCTTGAAAGAAACAAGAAAGATTGAACTGATCCTTAAAGCTGTCTAAAATATGGAAATCATTTTTATTAAAATTTATGCTATTAATTTATAGCATGCGCTGATGCCTGCCATCAGATATAGTATGCTACTGGGAAAGAGTAATAGAAATTCAGGAAAGAGATAAAATTCAAGTGGTCATTAAATCATCTTTACTTTCAAAGCAGAGGAAATTTCACATCTGCTGAATATGTTTTCTTTGAGGTAAAAATGTGCATATGTGCTGATCGCTAGTATATTATTTTAACATCACACTGATAATTAAGCACAGATTAGGACTGAAAATCCATAGCTTCTCAGAGGACAAAGGAACCATCTAATTTGAACATTTTGTTTTATAAATGAAAATTCTACCATTTAGAATTTCTTAGTGTCTCAGATGAATAGGCCCCAACTGGTAAGGCTTCGTAAGTTAAAATTTCACTTACCTGAAAATTCTTCTCTGCTGGACTTCCTGAAGGACCCCACAAGCAGTCTCCCCCTACATGATGTGTCAGACTGAATTTGTATATTTCTGGTCAATAGTCCAACCTCAGCAGCCAAACGAATATGTCGGCCATCCTCCATGACATGGACACTTCCTGGGACAACAGGAGGTGGTGGAAAAAAAAAACCTTTAAAAACTTCTTTTGGAAATCACTAGCTGTGGACAGCAAAACTGACAAATGAAAACATTCCTTTCCCTTTGGAAGTCCTACCAACATTAAGGTCTGCTTTTCCTCAGGCATTCTCCACAAATATCAGCTGAAAAATGAAAAACCCATTTGCTTGTCTCTCTTTGGAATCAGAGTGAGAGTGTTGGAGCAAGGAATCATTTCTTCACAACAATGCTGAGTACTGGGATGGGCCATAGGAGCAGGGAAGTCAGTGCAGACCTGTCCAGTTAGTGGCGTCCCCAGCTTCCTTCCTTAAATATGTCAATAGGAGACTTAGGGTTCAGTTGTACTTTGTCTCTGGATCTCTGCCATGAGAGGGAGGAATCCCAGATCAACTGAGGCAGTGGCAGAGTGCAAACAATGATGCATAAGAGGAAAATGAAAAAGAGAAGCAGCGCCATGCAGCAGCCATGCAGCAGCAGCAGAAGCGTCCTCTCATGGTGGGTCCTCGGCCACCACCGCCTAACTCAGCTTCTATAGCAGTGGGAATGGAAGGGCCTTGCTAGTTTCTCTCACGCTCTCCATTTGCATTTCACCCTGGATCTTCCTGCAAGAATTGTTGAAGATTCCTCTTTTCTCTGTCACTTTTTAGAAAAGATATCATCCTTGGAACTATGATTTAGAAATAGCTTCAGACAGTCCTGGTGGAAACACGTATTTCCCTCTCACATATCAGAGACAAAGAGATAGGCTCTAATCTCTTTATTTCCATTGTATATTACTGATTAGCAATATCTCCCGGATTAGATTCATTTGTTAGACTGAATCAGGGAGATTATGATTATTTATCATTTATGTGCAGTACATTTTAACTGTGTATAATGTATAAAAATATTCAGGACCTTTTTACAAAAAAAAGTTTTGGAATTTTTTTTTTCTTTTTTTTTTTCAGTAGTAGTAATAGTAGTCAATACATGAAATGTACTTCATGTCAGGAAAGACATATACCTAAAGTATGGAAAATGAAGTCACTACTCACAATAACTATCATACTCTAAGGGATTGTGTGATTCAATATTCCAGGAAATGAACTGGAATCTCAGTGCCCATGAGTTTTATTCTGGCTTAGCCACAAAACTGCCCAGCGATGACCTTGAATGAGATTCTTGATTCTTCTGCTCTTAGATTTGCCATTATAAATAAAAGGCAAAAAAGCAAAACAAAGATGAAAACAAAAAAAAAAAACAACAAAAAACCCTTACATCTAAGGATCCTTTAAAAATTAGGCAATAAAATTAATGAAAGAATAGAGATAAAGCCATCTAGGGTGAGTCTAAGGCAGCAGTAAGTATTATCCTTCCTCCCTCTCTGAATAGTGATCAGGTACAAGTCCCTAGGCAGGTTGCTGAACACCTTCTTCCTGGCTTGTTCACTTCCCTTAACCAACAAATCAAAGTCTTACCAATGTGCCGGTGTTTGAGCCGTTCATGGATTCTAATGTGGTGGCCCTTGACTTCTTTCACAGTGAGGACCTCTGCTTCATGAGGCTCATAAGAAGAGGAACTAAGGACGATTTTGTCATGGGGTCGCCAATCCACTGCATCCTCTACTATAATTCTGTAACAACATAAAGGTGGCATCAAGTACACAGACTGTGCAACACAGATCACCAGAGAGAGAAGAGGAAATCCACTGTGACCAACAAATCTCAACAGGGAAACTGAAGCAGTAATAGCAAGACAGTAAAACAAAAGCCTTTTGCAAAAAGTTTAATGCTAATGGAGTCAATTTTCTAGCTTGCAAATGTATACATTATAGGGATAGCGAAAATACCCCGTGACCATGAAGTATAAGGCAAAGCAACAAGAAACAGTAAAAGTTCCAGTTTAGTACATATATGCATCTACACATGTTTTCTGCAAGAGCAATCTTTTCTCAAATTTTCTGATGGCCTGTAATGCCATTTTTGAACAATTTATCATCATGCCTAAGGCTCCTACCTTTATGGTTAGACAGATACAAGTGTGAAACCTGGAGGTGCCACTTACTAGCTGTGTGACCTTGAGAAGCCACTGAACTTTTCTCAGCTTCATATCCTCATCTGAAAAGTACAATAGTTACTATACTTTTCCTCCAACCTCCAATCTTATTGTGTGAACTAACGGGTATATATTCCTCAAGTGCTATGTTCCAAGCATTGTTCTTTCATCACATTGTAAGACAATGAGGGTTTTGTCAGTTTTTAAAACTCACATTTAGTAAAATTTCTTTCCAGTCTTTCACTGCTGCCTAGCTTTTCCTAGTGAATATGACTACTTTATTCTCCATTCACAGTCATCAACTTTAATAGCACAAGTTTATTTTAATTACTTGCCTCTTTAGCTAATGTCCAAATTTTAGCAAGCCTTGACAATAGCTTCTCCTCTACCAATAAATGTCTGTCCAGACAACAGGGTCCCCATGCAGGCATTCAACCATGTGACATATGTTGACTGAGCAACTAGTATGCATCAGACAATATAGTAGGTGCTAGATATATAACAGTAAATAAACCATATACCATCTGTATTTAAAAGATAATTTAGATTTTGGCCAGTAGACAAACTTAAAGAATCTACTCTATGGGTGAAAGAGTCACACATGTTTGGTATATAGTATTAACTCCAAAAAAAGAGACAAATAAAGCTGGTTGTTCGTGGACTAATGGTATATGTCTGTTATGAACCAAAGATTTCAATTAATTCAAGTCTGAGCACCAATGGTTAGAGAGAGACAAAGAAAGAGAGAGATTCACAGACAGGAAAAAAGACAGCTGTCAACTGATGCAATTTTTTTTTTTTTGTCCTTTTTGAGACCGGCTGCACAGCGCTCGGCCAGTGAGCGCTGTGAGCGAACCGGTCATCCCTATATAGGATCCGAACCTGCGGCGGGAGCGCTGCTGCGCTCCCAGCGCCGCAGTCTCCCGAGTGCGCCACGGGCTCGGCCCACAACTGATGCAATTTTAATGAAAATATGTAGAGTCTGAGCTCTGTTCCTGATTTACTATGACTTCCTAGGAAACTCACAGAGTATAAAAGCAACTGCTAGCTTTTGAAGGCAAGGAAACTAAGCTCCAAAATGATTAAATAACAAAAGTCAATATTAGATAACTGAATGGAACTAGAGACTGAACAAGGACAAAGGAAGACTATTGATCAACTCCAGGGTTCTTTAAATAGCCTCACCTTATGTGTCTGATTCTCAGTTCTTCACCTGCTCAATGATAATAAGAAAACAATACTCCCACATTTCAAAATAATATCATGATAATCTATATTATGAAAAGTCTATGATCTGTACAATGGAACACTATGTAGCCATTTTAAAAGCAAATTGTAGCATAGTATTGAATTACAGGGAATTTTGTTCATGATACATTGTTTTAAAAAGGCGAGATATAATATGTCCCATTTTAAAAATAAAAACCATGCATACACAGAAAATAGACAATGAGAAAGATGCATGTTAAAAAGTGAGCCCACCTATGAATAGAGGGGTATTTTTAGTGATTTTTCACTTAAATCTGAGTCTTTTAATTTAGCAGATCTTTTATTGCAGTAAAACAGAACAAACGAATAAAAAAAAAACTCTTAAAAAAATAAGGCTATGGGTATAAAATCACTCCAAAGTCAAAGAACAGCATAATTGAAATAACTCATTTCCTTAATAGATGTGGAGCAATTGAAAATTTCATACATTTCTAGTGAGTATAAAAAATAGTGCAGCCACTTTGAAAAGCAGCTTGACAGTTTCTTATTTGACCCAGCAGTCCCATTCCTTGGTATTTACTCAAGAGAAATAAAAACATATATCTATACAATGACTTACTTGTGAATAATTATAGCAACGTTATTCTGGAAATAATTCCAATGTCCATCAACTGAGTAATAAACAAAATATAGTATATCCATATATTGGAATAATAATGAAGAAAAGAAACTAACTGCTCTACACAAAACTACATGGATGAATCTCAAAAGCATTTTGCTAAGTGAAATAAACTAGGCAAAAAGGCTGCATGTTTATCTTTATAAGACATTCTCAAAAAGGCAAAACTACAGTGGTGGAGAACAGATCAGTGAATTCCAGGGGATGGATGAGGGGGAATGGGATTGACTGCAAAGGGGCATTAGGGAACTTTCTGGAATGATGAAAATATTCTATATCTTGATGGTGATGATGGCTACACAACTGTGTACATTTGTCAAAATTCATAGAAATACATACCTACAAACGGTGAATTTTACTGTTTTTAAATTATACCTCAATAAACCTGACTTAAAAAATGAAAAAAAAAATTTCCTGTATAGTCTGTATTAGTCAGATAAGCTTTTTATTATTATTACATTGTTGAATAAAGATATTCAGATAATAGGTCACCATAATTTCCTGAAAAGTTCAACTGAGATTAAAACTCATCCCATATGGAACACAGGGTAATTTTGGGGTAGTGGAACTATGCTGTACGATACTATAAAGGTAGATACATGTCATTGTACATTTGTCAAAGGTCATAGAATATACAACACCAAGAGTAAACCCTAACGTAAACTAAAAAATAATAAAACCTCATTCTTTAGCTCCCTTATATAAGCCCTCTGCCCCAGCCAAATGAATCTGCTCAGTCTCCCTCTACTTTGCTCTTTAGTCCACTCAAAAAAAAAAAAAAAAAAAAAAAAAATGCTGACTTGAGTTACTCTGGTTCAAGAAGTCTTCTATGGGAGTCTGAACACTCCACCCCCCACCCCCTTTTCTATACCACCGTATATTTGACTTAACAAACACTAATGCTTTGTGACTGATTTTGTACTCTTGTATTGTATGGCTATTCAACTTTGATACTGTCAGTTAATATTTAATGAAAATATGACTATTTAACTATATAAACTCCATAGCACCTAGCAATGTTCTAGGCAAAGCATAAAAGGAATTATTGAAATTTTTAGGCCAAACTTATTTTAAACATGAATGAACTTAATCTGATCTTTTCCATTACGGTTTCTAAAGCCTTATGGGTTCATAAAAATTTATCTCTCCTCCGTTTTATTATTGAAACATAAGTGATTATACATATCTGTGAGGTACAGTGTTGAATATCAATACCTGTGTGCAATATGTGGTACTCAAATCAGGATAATTAATATATTCAACTTTATAATTTGTAATCTTTTTTTGTGGCCCTTTGCCAATTTCTCACTAACCTCCCCTGTATACTCCTGAAGCTTTGGGATTCCATATGTCTTGAAAACCATCCACAGATGTCAAAGGAGTATGGCTCCTTCCAATCGTATGACCATATAGCAACAGTGATAACTTCAGAGAAAATTGGAGTCCCAGTATCAATAGCTTGGTTGGTTCTGCTATCAAGTATCAGTTTTTCTTAAATTCCAGTAACCACTGTTCCTAGTCCCAGTCTTCCATCATTATGGTTACCCTTCAACCATTTCAAGAAATCCTAGCTTAATGGCTATTTGAGTGAAAATCCCAGCTGTATTCCATGCCTCTGATTAACGCTAATGAGAGTCCTATAGCTCTAGGGACAAGGAAAAACTTGCTTGTTGTTCTGAATAAAACATATCTAAAACAATAAATACACAAAAAATTAAAAGATATGTTTGTATATTCTGGATATTAGTCCTTTGTCAGATGTGTATTTTGCAAATATTTTCTCCCACTCTGTTGGACCTTGAGAGAATAATATTGAGTGAAACGAGTCAGGCAGAGAAAAAGAAATTCCGCATGTTCTCACTCATTGGTGGGAGCTAAAAAAACAAACAAATTAATTCACCCACATACACACACAAAAAATACACACACACACAAAAAAAAAAAAAACCGGGGGGGGGGTGGGGTGGGGAAGAAGATATAACAACTATACTTCTATGAAGTTGTTACAACAAGCAAACGGAAAGGACATTCTTGGGGGGCAGGGGAGAGAGGGAGGAGGGAGGGAGGTGTCGGTGATGGGCCATAATAATCATATACAGTGTATATTGACAAAATAAAAATTTAACGAAAAAAAAAATTAAAATAAATAAACAAAAAAAAAAAGAAAAAAAAACACAACTCTTGTTAAACTAGAAATAGATGTGTATTTACTCAACCCAATAAAGTATAGTTACTTCAAACTGTGAAAAAAAAAAAAAAATAAAAATAAAAGATATGTTTGCAACATAATTTAACCTAAACAGAAACCATATGAGAAGAGAGAGGAAACTATGAATAATCACTATGGCAGTCTCCTTAAAGATAACTTTTTAAAATTATAAACAAAATATCAGCACAGTTTCCTTTATTTTGGCATTAATATTTGACCTAGTTGAGGGAAAATATAATACTTATTACTCAAAAACATAAGACTTACTAGTTACAAAGAACAAAGAAGAATATATCCTTACAAATTTGATTTAAAATTTTTTACAACCATGTACAAGACATTTATATATAAATTCCTACAACATAAATGAATTTATAACTAAACTGTGGGGAGATCTTAATGATTATAGCTGCATTTGACCAAGCAGGCTCAGAGTGACATTCTAAAATGTTTCACCCCCAAGGAACAGGAATAGCCACAG